CGGAATCGTGGGGGGGAGGGCTCCAGCAAGGCAAAAGTCAAGTGGTCTACCCCCACTGTTAGGGTAGAGCCCCCCCCCCTTTTTTTTCTTTCCCGGGGGCTGTCATTTTCGCTCGCCCGCGGGCCGGAATGTGGTCTCCCCACAGCTAGACCAAGTGTGACGCCGTCGGCGTTGGGAGCCGGGTTGGGCCTCCACCGCAGTCCTTGCCGCGGGGACTCAATTAGATTGGTCAGCCTTCCCTTTACGTAGGTTCACATTAGATATACGCTTTATGTATTGCCGTTTGTTGTACAGTATGTTGTATGTTGTATTGTCATTATTGAAGAAAAAAAAAAAAATTATCTAATTCAATCTCAGAGCAATTGTATAGACAATTGCTCTTGAGGATTGTTACAATCAATTTTCGCTTATTGTTTGCTTATTATTGTTATTGTTGTGTTTCTGTTGTTGCTTTGTATGCTTGTAGTTGCCTTTAGATTGCTTGTAGATACTTATTTATTAGATTGCTTCCATCGTATTAGTTGAGTGCCCATGTAAAATTCCCAATTAGATTACTGTATTACCATTTAATTGCTGTATTGCCATCCTATTGTATTTATTGCCATTTTATTGCCATTTTCATTGCAAGTGTCCTGGAAGGCTGATCTCCCATCGCCGGCGGCGTCGCAGATTCCTAAATCCATCTCCCCCCATACTCCATAGAATAGCCGTAAGACCAATTGTTCAATTCATNATTAGATTACTGTATTACCATTTAATTGCTGTATTGCCATCCTATTGTATTTATTGCCATTTTATTGCCATTTTCATTGCAAGTGTCCTGGAAGGCTGATCTCCCATCGCCGGCGGCGTCGCAGATTCCTAAATCCATCTCCCCCCATACTCCATAGAATAGCCGTAAGACCAATTGTTCAATTCATCATTAACATTATTAATAAAATTTAAAAACCAAAAACCCCCATTGCTGTGGGGCCCAAAATTTTTTGGATAACCAGCAAAGACGGGAGGAAAAAAAAAAAAAAAAAAACATATATATACATATATATATACAAACACAACATCACGGGGGGCTGCGTGACGGTCGGCGACGGCGGGTGGAGCGGCGGCGGCTGGGGAAGAGGAGGAGGAAGAATGAAAAGAGGGAAGAACGATGTTTTTTTATGGACCAAATATGCTCCACTCTCAATACCTCAGTCCACGTTGCTATCCACACAGCCGAGGACAGGCAGGAATGGCGCAAGATGATGCAGGAGAAAGTGATTAGAGGAGGCCACGACCCTCAGCACTGAGGATTATCGACGCGAGGGAGTGGTCCCGCAGTAGTCGAAATTCGACTAATTAATTGAAATTATAAGTTTGAACATTATTATGGTTATATTGTCAAAGACTATTATACTTCTATAATCACAGATTTCGCCAAGACTACACTATAGACAAATAATATTAAAGATAAACAATATTAACCTATTTTCAATTTCACCACAGACTTTAAGCATTAACTAAAGTTTGACAATCAACAAAGAGTATATATACATATGTCTGTGTGTGTCAAATACATGACAGTGTGTGTAATGTTTTCTTTATTGATTTAACGTATCTTTTATGCATTATTTTTAAAAAATATTAGCATTGTGCACTCCTTCTCTATATTTTCTATAAGTGTGGGAAATTTGATACTGCTCCGTCCGCGCAATTTTCGTAAAAAGGGGTACAAAGTTTTTGCTTCACCTATTAATATATAGAGTAAGGAATACCCTACAAAAAGGGTATAAAACCGGCGTGCAGTTCCGTCACCCGCGCATTTGTCGGTTGACATTCGTCGAGAGAACATCGTTCAAAGACTTTAATTGTGTGTGTTTTTAAAAGTGTTAATTTAGGAAACACGAATTTTATAATAATGTTGAAGGTACAGTGCCTATAAATAGTAACGCCCTTGCTCGAAACATTCATTCGATCGGCGGCGTTCGTGAGAGAAGGTAGTCGTGGACATGGTGTGCGTGAGTCATTGTTTTAAATCTCTGTAAACGTGTGCTAATTGTTATTTTTTTAAATGGTTTTTCTTCTGATTCCTAATATCAGAAGTGGGATAAAGGACTCAAATAGCCCACAGTAGCGTAAAACTCTGAACTTTGTTTTGTTTTACAATGACTGCTTACTTTGATGCTTTCATACTTTATTTGTTATTTTTATTGTGTGATTGCAAATTTTAACTGTGATAATGAGACATGCTGAAACCCCTAGTACACGGAGGCGACCGTCTCGAGATGATTCTCGTAATCGAAAACGACATGCTTTCGCAATCACAGAGATGATAGACAGAATCGCAATACGAACGATAGAGGTCGTACTTCACGGGATGGCTTGCGGGTCCGAGACCAGCGTAATTCTCGCAGTACTGATGTGCGTCGGTCACGTGCTCGGGTTAGGCGCGGGTCGCGTAGTAGGGACCGCTCTCGTAGTGGAGGTCGAGATCGCGCTCGCGCACGATTGAACCTGTCGCGACACGTTCTAGCGATAAGGCGCGCGCTGAACAGACCACCGATATTCTACGGACAGTTACGACTCCCATGTCGAATATCGTTGGTTCGCAACAAGACCACGTAGAATCTAGTATCCCTGGTTCTGAGGCGTCTACCCTCCAGCCAGTGCTTTGATAAAACTTTAATAGTGATACGGGGCATAATGGGCCCTCAGATTAGAACCGCGAACGCTAATCTACTCACGATTTGATTTCATTTTTAGTGGAGGTCAGGTTAGGCCGAGTCCTCATAGGGTTCAGGCACTAGTTGAGTCACCAGTGACTCGTAATGTCACACAGGTGTACTCTCGTAATGTCATACTTCCTGAGGTTGACTGCATACTTCCGAAGGTGAATTCGGGACTATGTTGGCAATGGCAATGGTCAACTCAACTTTTGAGATTACAGCTCATTCTGAACATCACAAAATGCAAGACAAGAGACATCCGCCCTGCAGCTTCTGGTAGAAAAGACGCCACCACACCCGTGGTGAGGACTGTAATTAGTGATGTCACGACTGAGGTGTTTCGGAGCCATGAAGTTCGTCGAGAACTAGGTCAAGGTAGAGCTTATCAATTGGTACCACGGAGTGTAAAGCGACATGATGCTCGCGTGGACGGGCACCGACGAGCAGCAGCCGTTTTTAATGTCGATAATCTTGTTTTGGTAATAACTCACAGTCTACAGGAAATCTAGATCCGGCAATCCGTGGACCTTACCGAATGGTGAGGATGGTGCCTCACGGGCATTGCCGCCAGCTTGGGCCCCTCGATGTTTCCTGCGGCAGTAGCACGCAAGCGACGTGCCGGTGGCTGCGTAATATCGGTCGGCAGGTAAACTTGATTCCGGCATGCGTGGCCCGTATAAGGTTGTCGAAATTCTACCCAGTGGACGCTATACCCTACGGCTGCTCAGCGGCAGTTATGGCAAAGCTACGCAAGCAGCTGCACAATATATGGTGTCGTGGCGGGGCGAGTGGACCCCTGAGACATGTACTGCCTTCTTTGAGAGTCAGTAAAGTTAATAATGATCATTGTTCACAAATATACGTATTCCTATGGTGAACCTAAAGGGAGAGCTATAGATGATTGCTCTCTAGTTACGTATCCCTCACTCGGAGTCACGGTGAGATGCCTCAATACGATTGGTCTAGGCTGGCGTATTGAGAAGCCTCGGCACGTTTGAGTACTGTCAGCGTGCCGGGAAGCTTCACACGTTTGAATAAACTCTGCGTGTGGAATGCACTCGTACGTTTTTAATACGATCTTCGTACGAGTGGGTCTGGGACCATTTTACGTATCCCTCACTCGTGTGATTAAT